ATTTATGTAATTTTTTAAAATTTTTTTAGAATGCTACTGTTCAAGGAATTTCAGGTACAGGTTCACTTTGTATTGGAGCAAATTTTTTGTCACACTTTTTTAATGGCAATAAAGAAGTATATCTGCCAAAACCTACATGGGGAAATCATGCTGCTATATTTAAACTTGCTAAGTTACCAGTAAAGTTTTATCGTTATTTTGATCCAAACACATGTGGATTAGATTTTCAAGGTCTTTTAGAAGACATCTGTGTTAGTAATACATAAATACTGTAAATATAATATAATACCTTTATAAATTCTATTCATAATATTATAATTTACAGAAAATACCAGAAAAGTCCATTATTGTTTTACATGCATGTGCACATAATCCTACTGGTGTTGATCTTAAACTAGAACAATGGAAAGAATTGGCAACAGTAGTAAAAAACAAGAATCTTTTTCCCTTTTTTGACATGGCATATCAAGGATTTGCTTCAGGTAGAATAATACATAAAGCATTGATAATGAAAGTATGCAATTAATGCATTAACATATATTAATACAAATTGTAGGAGATACAGACAGAGATGCTCAAGCAGTTAGATTATTTATAAAAGAAGGAATACAAATTGCTTTAGCTCAATCATATGCTAAAAATATGGGTTTGTATGGTAAATATATAAAATTTCATGCTATTTTTTCATGCAATATGAAAATATGAAAGGTTTTCAGAATTACTAATTTTAAATAGGTGAACGTGTCGGAGCGCTTACGTTCATTACTTCTGACAAAGACGAAGCGGAACGTGTTCTTTCACAGCTAAAAATTTTAATTAGACCAATATATTCTAATCCGCCAATTTATGGCGCCAGGATAGTTAATGAAATCTTTGGAGATCCTGAATTAAAACAACAATGGCTTTGTGATGTAAAATTAATGGCTGATCGCGTTATTTCTGTACGTGAAAAGTTGTGTAATAATCTTAGAAAAAATGGCAGTTCTCGTGATTGGTCACACATTGTTAATCAAATTGGAATGTTCTGTTATACAGGTCTTAATACTTCTGAGGTACTATAAAGAACATTTTTTGAGTTTCTAAAGTATAACGCATAGCACGTAGATATAACAAATTATTCTTATCTTTACAGGTAGAAAAGCTTACAAAGGATTATAGCGTTTATTTGACAAAGGATGGTAGAATATCTATGGCAGGAGTAACATCAAAGAATGTAGAATATCTTGCAAATGCCATTCATGAAATTACAAAATAATTACATACTTCTATTAATGATTAAAAATTTCAATCAAATTTAGTCTTGTAATCTTCAAATACACTCCATATAAGCAAAATACAAATTTATACTTTAAGCTAAATGCATTTAATCTTGCGTGTTATTTTTATAAAAGCACTGCAGGCGGTGTAGTCATTGAGATAAACATACTTGAAATGTTTGTGATAAATAAACATGAAATTAATTAAAATAAATTTTCTGTAAATTCTTCTGTAACAATTACATTGTAAATATTCTGTATTTCGCATTCTATTTCAATATAAAGAAATATATTATTTGATTTTTAACATACTGTAAATTTAAATAAAAATGACTTTATTGATTGGCCATTTGAAGAAAAGTTCTTAGAATGTACTAAATTTTTTCAATAATGAAGTGTTATATAACAACTTGACCTCTCACATTAAATATATATTTACTAAATACTGATTATATTAAAGCGCGAGATTTCTTGATCACATTTGAAACATGACAAGCAATTTACCGAAAATGCACACAGGCGCACTCCGAATCGTATGATTTGCCTAGTCGTCTGCTTTTGTGTATATACGCACACGTCATAGTTATACATTAATACAAATTTGAACGTTTCTAAAACATTTTATTATCCATAAGTCTTTGAAGGAGTGCTGAAACAAGTACCTAAACGTAGTAAACAAATCCTTAAGACGAAACGAGAAATAACGACGGGATACGTTCCGTTCGACGGGCTTATTATTAAAGTGAGGTTAAGTTGTTTTCATTAAAATGAATTTTCAATTTCAGTTCAACTTTAATATGTTTCCGGAGAGGTTGTTCAATAACCAGTATAAATGTTTTTCTGTGTCAATGTTGCCGGGTACATATCGAAGAGATGTAGAACGCGGAGGAAAAAGTATGTATATATATATAGAAAACGTATTATTTGATTATTGAATAAATAAAAGATTATAACTTATTATTTATTGTTTTTCAGTAATTATGCCACCTTCAGCTTTAGAACATCTTACAAGATTGAATATTAGATTTCCCATGTTATTTAGATTAACTAATGAGAAGACGAATAGAGTTACTCATTGTGGTGTTCTGGAATTTGTTGCAGATGAAGGAAAAGTTTATTTACCTTGTTGGGTAGATATAATTCGAATTTTTGTATTATTGATTAAGAAATATTAATATCTGGAACAATTATGTTAAACATGTTTCTATTATTAAAAAATATCATTTTATAGCAACTCAACGTATATTTGTCATAATATGATTACAGATGATGTATAATCTTTTATCACAAGAAGGAGAATTAATAACTATTGAAAGTGCCAATTTACCAGTTGCAACATTTTCACGATTTCAACCACAATCTGAAGATTTTCTAGATATTACAAATCCTAAAGCTGTATTAGAAAATGGATTAAGACATTTTGCTTGTCTTACAACAGGTGATATCATTGCTATAAAATACAATGGAAGAGTATATGAAATGTGTGTGTTGGAAACACAACCAGGCCCAGCAGTTGCTATCATAGAATGTGATATGAATGTTGAATTTGCTCCACCACTGGATTATATAGAAGAAGAAACTACAAAGGATGACAATGTAGTTGATCCCGTAGATTTAATGCCAGCACCATCTGGTTTTGTACCATTCAAAGGACAGGGTAACAGGTTAAATGGCAAAAATCGTAGAGACTTTGCAACACTTGAAATAACTGCAAGCAAACCAATTTATATTAGAGGAATACCAGATTATGATTACAAATTGGGAACTCTCACATTCTTGCGCATTGCTAAACCTGCTAATAATAAAGAGGTAAAATCTTACTTAAAATATAGTTTATGTAGTATTTAACTTTCATTCAAGTATAATTCTTCTAGGTAAAAGATCAAGATGAATTTAAAGCATTCACTGGTGAAGGTTTTTCTCTTAGGGAGCCAAAAGTAATTGAATAATTACTTATTTATTTATTTTCATACAACTATAAATATATTTTAATATTTCTTAAATTTATTTTAAAATAATTCGAACCTTAACTAATAGTGCAAAATAGTATAAAATTATTAGAACTAATGGTACAAAAGTTATCCTACAAGCTAACTTTTTTACAAAAAAAATTCACAAGTTATTGTCCCTATACAGATAATTAATATTTAGCATTTTACTGTTACAAATTACAAAGTTGCAATAGGAAATTTAATCCACTAATGGGCCCCAGAAATGTTTACTCGGTTTTGTTGAATCTTTTGTCAAAAAAAATTCACGGCCCAGTGTGATAAATTCTTCAGTACTAATTTTACCATCATCATTAGTATCAATATGACTGAAGGAAATAACGGCATCCTGTAATTATTTTTTTTTAGTTTAGTTAATTCACTTATTTTAGTTTTGTTTTAAGTAATATAATAAAAAACACGTGTATACTTACATCATGTGTAAGATCTAAGCATTGGAAAAATAATTTAAATTCTTGTACAGAAATTTCACCATTTTGGTCTTTATCCACTGCCTAAAATTTCATGCGATATTTAAAAAAAAGTTCGTTTAATAAATAACACTTTACATGCACACACATTTGGAACTTACTTTGAATAAAAATGGCAAAAAATGATGACACTTTTTTTTCAAGGATGAGTCATTAAGAACATGCTGCATTTCTTCTAGATATTTTTCAATACAAATGAAATTATACGGACTAATTTCTCCCCACTGTTCTTCCCACATTTCCTATACAAATAAATGTATGAATGTATATAATATATATTTTATCATTTTAAATGTTTTGAAAAATTATATTGTCGTTCTCTAACATAAAAATTATTGAAAAACAGATTGACATACGTAAAAATTATTAAAATAAAATTGACATACATTTAATACATTTTTAAATTCAATTTTAGCTTCCGGAGTTAAGTGGCCCAAATCAGAAAATCGTTCTCCAAGTAGCATAAAATCATCATAACTAATAACGCCGTCTTTATTAACATCTAAATGACTATGTAAAGTTCGCATTTTTCTTCTCCAAAAAAATGACTGATCCTGGTAAATTAAAGGTTCCTTATTTATAAATTAACGTATGTTAAGAAAAGTAATATTAATATTGTAAGAAAAACCAAATATTGCTTAAACAGAAGAAATATTTGAATTAAATATAAGACATGGATTTAGGGAAGGGGTAATGAGTAGACTGCAGATGTTTATGAATTATATAAAAATATACAAAACACATGAGAGTAATGTTAGAATCCCTTGAAATCTATAAACAACAACACTATTTATCTATAGATGAATATATCATAGTATAGTGCATAAGATGGTAATGTTACCTTCATGTAGTTTGCACATTTTGATATGTTATAATTGCATAAACATCCACAGTTTAGTGATAAGTATTTGTGTCACTTTTGTCACTTTTAGTTGTCACTTTTATTGCATATTTTTTCTACTATAGTATGGGAAAATTTGTAACATGTTTAATTATTTAAATAATTATATTGTTCACATAATAGGATGTTTGGAAATCAGAGGTTCTACTATACTATGTTTCCAAATCGATAGATTAGATCTAAACTGGTGTAAGGTTACTAGACTTAATGACACAAGATTGTTTTATTAAAATATTTTTTTAAAATTGTCTATCAAACAGCTGCTACAGCATTAGACAACACGGAGAAATGAATCACTAATACAAATATATTAAAGTTTTTAACAGATTAAAATAGAATCTGAAAGTAGAAAGAGGAAATTTAGCACATATATTAATGATTAGTCTTTATAATTTTTGAGATTGCAAGTGATCATAATACACAATTGATAATCAATATTTTCTAAGCATTTCCGTAAAAAATAATTTAACAATATTAAACTGGGTAATCTTGTCCATTAATTTATTAGTCTAGTACGTTCACTCCGCATCGATTTGAAAACGTTATATTTAGTCGCCTTTTTCTTATTAATTCTTTCGATACAATATTTAACTACGGTCAACGGCCACCAAACAACACATATGCCCGAGTGTTAATTTTAGTCGATAAACGTGAGATACTCACTGTAGATTCCTCGAAAGAGTTAATTCTTTCAATTTTTTAATTTTTCCCTTTTAAGGTCAATGTGAACATTAATTTCAGTGCTAAAATCCTTTCAAAATAACTTATTGAAATTATTTTTGCACTGTTTTAAGCGACAAAGTGCTTTAATAAAATGCTATGAGCAAAGTTGGGCAAATTTTTATTTAAATAATTTGTAATAAATAACAAATAAAATATTATAATTCGGTCGTCTCTTATCTGTCGTTCTTTCAACAATAGAATAATCGTAAGGTGAATACCGTTACTTTTTATAAGCATGTTATTTATACAAAATATTACTTTCTTTGTGTTAGAAATTAGTTTAACTCACCCGATATAAACAATACAAAGCTTCTAAATAGAAGCATAACAAACA